AAATGTCAAATACCTCACCCCCCCCCCCCCGCCCCACCCCATACTCTTTCTTCGTTCATATCATATATAGGGACTCTATTCTTTTCGAGGCGGACAAGGACAGCTGTGTAGTCTTTCGGATGGGACGAAAAACCGAGGTCCCGTGTGCACATTCGCGTGGACGTAAAAGATCCCTTTGACAGATGGAATTCGATATAAGAGTAGGCCGTAGTGCCGCTGTCCGGGCAAAATTTCCCTCATAGCACAGTGTATGGCGTATGCCCGTCTTCATTAGCCCAGTTCCAAGCAGAACAGTAGGACGTTAAAACTCCATTTCATTTCTTTTCATTTCTTGAAACTAGTTGGGAAGCCCCCCGGTCTCTACCCCATGCCCCGGCTCCTTCAGCTATGTCTAAGAGCATGATTTGCTACCATATCATCTTAGCCCACTGCCACCGCTGCTTAATATTGAGCGACTTGTTTATTCGACTGAATTATTCGACTGAAGTATTCGACTGAACTATTCGACTGGTTTATTCGACTGAACTTTTCGACTGAATTATTCGACTGGTTTATTCGACTGGATTATTCGACTGAACTAACTGACTGATTTTATCGACTGGACGAGGCCACATGAAAATGTCAAATACCTCATCCCCCCCCACCCCCGCCCCACCCCATCCCCTTTCTTAGTTCATATCATATATAGGGACTCTATTCTTTTCGAGGCGGACAAGGACAGCTGTCTAGTCGTTCGGATGGGACGAAAAACCGAGGTCCCGTGTGCACATTGGCGTGGACGTAAAAGATCCCTTGACAGATGGAATTCGATATAAGAGTACGCCGTAGTGCCGCTGTCCGGGCAAAATTTCCCTCATCGCACAGTGTATGGCGTATGCCCGTCTTCATTAGCCCAGTTCCAAGCAGAACAGTAGGACGTTAAAACCCCATTTCATTTCTTTTCATTTCTTGAAACTAATTGGGAAGCCCCCCGGTCTCTACCCCATGCCCCGGCTCCTTCAGCTATGTCTAAGAGCATGATTTGCTACCATATCATCTTAGCCCACTGCCACCGCTGCTTAATATTGAGCGACTTGTTTATTCGACTGAATTATTCGACTGGATTATTCGACTGAAGTATTCGACTGAAGTATTCGACTGAACTATTCGACTGGTTTATTCGACTGAACTTTTCGACTGAACTATTCGACTGGTTTATTCGACTGGATTATTCGACTGAACTAACTGACTGATTTTATCGACTGGACGAGGCCACATGAAAATGTCAAATACCTCATCCCCCCCGCCCCACCCCATCCCCTTTCTTCGTTCATATCATATATAGGGACTCTATTCTTTTCGAGGCGGACAAGGACAGCTGTCTAGTCGTTCGGATGGGACGAAAAACCGAGGTCCCGTGTATACATTGGAGTGGACGTAAAAGATCCCTTTGACAGATGGAATACGATATAAGAGTAGGCCGTAGTGCCGCTGTCCGGGCAAAATTTCCCTCATCGCACAGTGTATGGCGTCTGCCCGTCTTCATTAGCCCAGTTCCAAGCAGAACAGAAGGACGTTAAACCCCATTTCATTTTTTTTCATTTCTTGAAACTAGTTGGGAAGCCCCCCGGTCCCTACCCCATGCCCCCGGCTCCTTCAGCTATGGCTACGAGCATGATTTGCTACTATATTATCTTAGCCCGCTGCCACTGCTGCTTAATATTGAGCGACTTGTTTATTCGACTGAATTATTCGACTGAATTATTCGACTGGTTTATTCGACTGAACTTTTCGACTGGTTTATTCGACTGGATTATTCGACTGAACTAACTGACTGGTTTTATCGACTGGACGAGGCCACATGAAAATATCAAATACCTCATCCCCCCCCCACCCCCGCCCCACCCCATCCCCTTTCTTCGTTTATATCATATATAGGGACTCTATTCTTTTCGAGGCGGACAAGGACAGCTGTCTAGTCTTTCGGATGGGACGAAAAACCGAGGTCCCGTGTATACATTGGAGTGGATGTAAAAGATCCCTTTGACAGATGGAATTCGATATAAGAGTACGCCGTAGTGCCGCTGTACGGGCAAAATTTCCCTCATCGCACAGTGTATGGCGTATGCCCGTCTTCATTAGCCCAGTTCCAAGCAGAACAGTAGGACGTTAAAACCCCATTTCATTTCTTTTCATTTCTTGAAACTAATTGGGAAGCCCCCCGGTCTCTACCCCATGCCCCGGCTCCTTCAGCTATGTCTAAGAGCATGATTTGCTACCATATCATCTTAGCCCACTGCCACCGCTGCTTAATATTGAGCGACTTGTTTATTCGACTGAATTATTCGACTGGATTATTCGACTGAATTATTCGACTGAAGTATTCGACTGAACTATTCGACTGGTTTATTCGACTGAACTTTTCGACTGAACTATTCGACTGGTTTATTCGACTGGATTATTCGACTGAACTAACTGACTGATTTTATCGACTGGACGAGGCCACATGAAAATTTCAAATACCTCATCCCCCCCCCGCCCCACCCCATCCCCTTTCTTCGTTCATATCATATATAGGGACTCTATTCTTTTCGAGGCGGACAAGGACAGCTGTCTAGTCGTTCGGATGGGACGAAAAACCGAGGTCCCGTGTATACATTGGAGTGGACGTAAAAGATCCCTTTGACAGATGGAATTCGATATAAGAGTAGGCCGTAGTGCCGCTGTCCGGGCAAAATTTCCCTCATCGCACAGTGTATGGCGTCTGCCCGTCTTCATTAGCCCAGTTCCAAGCAGAACAGAAGGACGTTAAACCCCATTTCATTTCTTTTCATTTCTTGAAACTAGTTGGGAAGCCCCCCGGTCCCTACCCCATGCCCCCGGCTCCTTCAGCTATGGCTACGAGCATGATTTGCTACTATATTATCTTAGCCCGCTGCCACCGCTGCTTAATATTGAGCGACTTGTTTATTCGACTGAATTATTCGACTGGTTTATTCGACTGAACTTTTCGACTGGTTTATTCGACTGGATTATTCGACTGAACTAACTGACTGGTTTTATCGACTGGACGAGGCCACATGAAAATATCAAATACCTCATCCCCCCCACCCCCGCCCCACCCCATCCCCTTTCTTCGTTTATATCATATATAGGGACTCTATTCTTTTCGAGGCGGACAAGGACAGCTGTCTAGTCTTTCGGATGGGACGAAAAACCGAGGTCCCGTGTATACATTGGAGTGGATGTAAAAGATCCCTTTGACAGATGGAATTCGATATAAGAGTAGGCCGTAGTGCCGCTGTCCGGGCAAAATTTCCCTCATCGCACAGTGTATGGCGTCTGCCCGTCTTCATTAGCCCAGTTCCAAGCAGAACAGTAGGACGTTAAAACCCCATTTCATTTCTTTTCATTTCTTGAAACTAGTTGGGAAGCCCCCCGGTCCCTACCCCATGCCCCCGGCTCCTTCAGCTATGGCTACGAGCATGATTTGCTACTATATTATCTTAGCCCGCTGCCACCGCTGCTTAATATTGAGCGACTTGTTTATTCGACTGAATTATTCGACTGGATTATTCGACTGAATTATTCGACTGAACTATTCGACTGAACTTTTCGACTGAATTATTCGACTGGTTTATTCGACTGGATTATTCGACTGAACTAACTGACTGGTTTTATCGACTGGACGAGGCCACATGAAAATGTCAAATACCTCATCCCCCCCACCCCCGCCCCACCCCATCCCCTTTCTTCGTTCATATCATATATAGGGACTCTATTCTTTTCGAGGCGGACAAGGACAGCTGTCTAGTCGTTCGGATGGGACGAAAAACCGAGGTCCCGTGTCCACATTGACGTGGTCGTAAAAGATCCCTTGACAGATGGAATTCGATATAAGAGTAGGCCGTAGTGCCGCTGTCCGGGCAAAATTTCCCTCATCGCACAGTGTATGGCGTCTGCCCGTCTTCATTAGCCCAGTTCCAAGCAGAACAGTAGGACGTTAAAACCCCATTTCATTTCTTTTCATTTCTTGAAACTAGTTGGGAAGCCCCCCCAGTCTCTACCACATGCCCCGGCTCCTTCAGCTATGTCTAAGAGCATGATTTGCTACCATATCATCTTAGCCCACTGCCACCGCTGCTTAATATTGAGCGACTTGTTTATTCGACTGAATTATTCGACTGAAGTATTCGACTGAACTATTCGACTGGTTTATTCGACTGAACTTTTCGACTGAATTATTCGACTGGTTTATTCGACTGGATTATTCGACTGAACTAACTGACTGATTTTATCGACTGGACGAGGCCACATGATAATGTCAAATACCTCATCCCCATCGCCCCCCTAACCCAACATATCATATATAGGGACTCTATTCTTTTGGAGGTGGACAAGGACAGATGTCTAGGCGTTCGGATGGGACGAAAAACCGAGGTCCCGTGTACACATTGGCGTGCACTTAAAAGATGGGGGCATATGGGGATGAGGGAAAAAGTCAAGCATGACTTTATTAAGCCGCGGTGGCAATAACTAAGATAACACCTTAAAGTTTTAATTTGAACAATCAAATTTGAACATGAGGGGACGTAAAAAATAAACAAAAACAATGATAAAAGATATTGGAATTAGTGCGTTTTTTCTTTAACTTATACAGATTACAAACGATTCCAAAATTTTAATAAGCCATCGACCGGTTTATTCGACTGACTATTTGTTTTGGACTTAGGGTCGACTCAATTGACATACAAAACGATGGCTGGAAACACCCGACTGCTTACGTCGGAATACGCATGTTTTTTTTAATCGCTTATATCATCATGCTAGGCCTGGTATACAAAAAACATTCATACCTTTAGGAAAGGGAAATTAATGCTTTTTTATTTGGTATTCTTCTTCAAATTAAAAAAGAAAAATATAAAATTGTTCCGTAAAATAAATTATTTCATGATTCGTTTTTGATTTAATTTTGGTAAAAATCTGTTTTTGCCATTCGCGACCATAACTTTGCATTCTGGGAAAAAATAAACATGGAGGTTGTTTGTTATGAAAATGAAGACGATAATATTTATCAAATTTAGCCATTGAATTCTCACGATGAATCTTAAAAATCTGTTTCAAGATTTTAATCCAAGGTTTATAGTTTATGTCTACACAATATTATTCTACCCACTGTTCTGTTGACCCGTATCTTAATTAAAATATTCTTGAACAATCAAATATTGAAATTAAATCTACAAGTGAAGTAGGCCTACAAGTACAACTACTAGTAGGCTACTACTTACTACTTAGGCCTCCTAAATACTACTATAGAAAGATAGGGCCTACATGTAGGCCCCTACCTGTAGGCCTAATCTGTGTAGTCATAGTGTCTGCTTAGAAATGGTTCCATTATTGGCATTACTAATACTGTTACTATTGATGTCTTCCGTCTTGCCTTCGGTCTGTCATTGAGTCAACTGGCGTGGTTTCGATTCCCTGGTGGTTGTATGTGACAAGGGGTAGGGTCGTCTGTCCAACCTCGTGGGTTTACTCGGGGTCCACCAGTTTCCTTCCACTTCTAAAACCCCTACGCGCAAGCGAATTATTGAAATAAAATTGAACCATGTGTTAGTCCCAAAATGACCTATGTTAAACCCCTCTCTCTCTCTCTCTCTCTCTCTCTCTCTCTCTCTCTCTGTAATATCACAAACTTATTTTTATTATCATTAGTCGGAGGAAACCCGAGTACTCAAAATTAACCCGAAAACTTACCCATGTGTTTGAAATTACCTCCCATCAAAGAAAATGTATTGTACAATTAAATATTCCAATGCACAAAAAGATTTCTCTTGCAAAATTTGACATTGGGAAATGCCAAAATAGTTGTTTATTTATTTCGTATTGGGTGTCAAAATGCCATATCTATTGAAACTGTTCATAGCACTTTACAGGAGGGGTGGGAGAATGGTCGAATGTTTAGGCGCACGCTATATCATAAGGTCTGTCATTGAGTCAACTGGCATTGTTTTGATTCTCTGGTTGTACTTGACAAGGAGTAAGCTCGCCTGTCCAACTTCGTGGGTTTTCTCTGGGTCCTCCGGTTTCCTCCCACTGCTGTAGTGCTAACAACCCCTACATGTGAGCGAATTATTGAAATAAAATTGAACCATATGTTAGTCTAGAAATGAGCTAGTTTGTTTTGAGGGGACATTAAACTCCATCTCTCTCTCACAGCACTTTACAACAATTTAAGTATTGTTTATAAAGTCAAGCAATGAAAATTACCACGCTTTGTTTTACTGCAAAGTCATTACCCTTGCTGATTGGTAACGGATCCACACTCACTGGATCTGAAGCAGATCGTGGTAATTTTTGGGGAACCTTGCTGTAGATTTTACTTTTACCGAACATTACGGTGTAGTGATACATCATTTTTTGACAGCAATTCAACCATTGCAAAGTCCTTTATATTTTGACCCAGTGTTTCCATCAAGGTCAATTGAATAACAATAGTTCATTTTTAATAAAAAGAAAAGTTACTTTTAATAAGAAATGAACTGTTCTTTGAAAATAATAAAAAAAAGTACTTCCTTTTCAACTGACCAATCAAATTCATGTTGCAGTAGATTATGAAATTTATCACACAAACGATATCTACTGTAGAATGTATTATTGGGTGATAAACAGTATTATACATCCTGCATTACCCCGGCGTATTGACTAAAAGATAGAGATAGATGTGTTCCATAGTTTTATATATCATACTGGTGGTACTGTAAGCTTATAACATCTTATTTGTCCTTATCATTCCAACGCATATCCCCAGGACTAGCCTCTACTAAATGTAAGCCTATTTTCTATTTCAGTAAATTCTTGGTGTTCACATGTTTGCTTGTATTCTGTCTATTGTTTTCTCTACGATTAGATGGAACAATAGAATGGAGTTATTGGGTTATATTTTTACCTATATGGTTATGGAAAGTTATGGTTATAGCAGGGGCTCTTGTTGGTAGTTATGTGTGGTGGAAAAACCCACATTACAGGTAAAATCTAAAATTTCTGACTTTATGAACAAACTGAAAGCCTGCGGATTGCTTAAACTGACCTAAGTTAAAAACCTGACATAATTGTTAATAATATATATGATTTTATGGACAAAATTCGCCATGACTCCCATGCACACAGACATTATTTATTCATATTCATATTACTATTAATGCTTAACCTTAAACCCCATATAATCCGACAATTGTAACTGACATACGGATCAGAAATGACACTGTATGAATCTTATAAACAGAATAAGGTACATAAAGTAACATCGTATATTTAAAATAAATTTTTCATGGTGCACTTTTACGTTCTCCTAGCACAAGTGTTAGCTGTGGTAGTTTTTTGTTTATAGTTCACAAGAAAATATTTGGAGTTCTGGAATTATGATGTAAAAGAAACCAAACATTATAGTATCTGATTGTCATTTGGGGGATTTTTTATCCTTTGCAAACCAAAATAGACTTAGAGTTGAATCTCTAAAAGGAATATCAGTCAAAAATGGTTCATTTCTGTTCAGTACTTACAAAGATTTGATGAATTTTGCATGTACTCTGCAGACAAAAGCCAGTGCCACCTGTTATCTACGTTCAAACTTTGTTTTTATTTTCATAATTATTATATGTTAAATGATCAATTTGAGTACATTTTGGCATGGATTAAACTATCAAAAATGAGATATTGTCACAAAAATGCTATTGATGATCAGTGACTTTAATATTGAAATGAATGTATTTGCTCCATATTTGAACTAAGATCTTTAAATTTGTAATTAAGAAGCTTATTTTTTCAAACTTTTAGAGGTGAAGGTGATAGCTATGTTCAATATAAAGCAATGGTAATGTGTACTGGACTTCATATGCTGTTATTAATGTTTGAGATACTGGCCTGTGATAACTTAGAGACCAATAACCATAGTTGGATACTTGTTTTCATTCCACTAATGTTTATGTCTGTTGTATCCATCAGTATTTGTATCTGGGCTGTTAAAAATGAACGAGCATTTGAGGTAAGTATGATCATTTTAAAAACTGTACATCAGAAACAGAGCTTTACTCTGGGTCACTTAACAAGATATTGGTCTGATTGATCTAATCATTATTTCTAAAATTTGTAAAATGTCTACTAGTCTGTGTTGATTTTCTTGTGTTGGTAAAAGTACAGTCTACATTCAGCTGCATTATATCTCGCCAGGACTTCCATTCAAATCGGGGTGGGGGGGGTGGATTGGATGGCCAAATGGTTAGCACATGCGCGCTGTATCATAAGGTCTGTCATTGAGTCAACTGGCAGGGTTTCAATTCCCCGGTTGTATGTGACAAGGAGTAGGGTCGTCTGTCCAACCTTGTGGGTTTTCTCCCACTGCTAAAGACCCCTACGCACAAGCAAATTATTGAAATAAAATTGAACCATGTGTTAGTACCGAAATGACCTGGTTTGTGTCGCGTGGAAGTTAACCCCATTTCTCTCCAATCAAATCAGTAGTGAATTTTCATTGCATCTCAGTAAGCTTATATTTCTTTGTAGAAGGCTACTAAAACCCATTATTCTACTTCCCAAAATAATTTTGCTCTGAAAATTTCAGACAACAAATAGTCTAATCTTGACATTTTGGCATAATTTTTTCATTTATAAACAGAATATTAGACCTGTAACAGTGAGACAGAACAGCTTTAATAAGATTGCTATCTTTGTGTGTTTTTTAGATGGAGTTATTTTGTTCAGTCAACATACTACAATTTATATTTCTGGCTTTAAGACTTGATAAAGTATTCCAGTGGAGTTGGGTGGTAAGAAACTAGACATAATATCAATTTCTTTTAATTTAGAAAATGATTGCTTCCTCAGACAATTTAAGCAGACATTATGCAAGAGCTAAATCTGCCTATTGCAGGTCTTTCTTTAGGCCTTAAATGTTACATAAACTATGAATTAGTCAATTATTAACATGACAAGACCATAATCAACTCTTAATGCATTCAAACTTTTCTGCCATTTAATGATTTAATTTAAAAATGGAGAAGCGAGGCTAAGCTGTGAACAACCGGTACATTCAATGCACACATCTTGTCAAACCTTCAAAGGTGAATATCTTCGCTTAGAATAAAGCAATTTGAATGAAATTTTGTGGATTTGAATACATTTTGTGGTCGATAATTAAACGTAAAAATGGATACTCAAGACTTTGTTTTTTTCGTACCGACTTTAGTAATGATGATCAAGGCTAGCCTACTTTTCAAAAGCTAATATCTCGGTTCAGAGTGAACCAATTTGACTGAAATTTTTCGCATATTCTATTTATGTTATCTTTTTGTCCCCCGCCTTTCGAAGAAAGCAGGGGACTATTAAAATGGGTTCGTCCGTCTGTCTGTCCGTCTGTCTGTCCGTCACACTTTTTGGGACACAATAACTCTCTTCCTAATTGAGCTAGAATGTTCAAACTTGGTGTATGTGTTTATTAGGTCAATGCCTTGATGGAGTTCGAAGATGAGCATTTTCCGCTTAGGGTAAGCAGAGATAAGCAATTTGATTGGTTGATGCTTTGGGACACGATAACTCTCTTCCTAATTGGGCTAGAATGTTCAAACTTGGTGTATGTGTTGATTAGGTCAATGCCTTGATGGAGTTCGAAGATGAGCATTTTCCGCTTAGGGTAAGCAGAGATAAGCAATTTGATTGGTTGATGCTTTGGGACACGATAACTTTTAATTGAGCTAGAATGTTCAAACTTGGTGTATGTGTTTATTAGGTCAATGCCTTGATGGAGTTCGAAGATGAGCATTTTCCGCTTAGGGTAAGCAGAGATAAGCAATTTGATTGGTTGATACTTTGGGGCACGATAACTCTCTTCCTAATTGAGCTAGAATGTTCAAACTTGGTGTATGTGTTGATTAGGTCAATGCCTTGATGGAGTTCGAAGATGAGCATTTTCCGCTTAGGGTAAGCAGAGATAAGCAATTTGATTGGTTGATGCTTTGGGACACGATAACTTTAGTTCTAATTAAGTGAGATTGATGAAACTTGGTGTATAGTTTCATTACAGTAATACCTTGTTATCTAAATTATCCCCCTTTGGTGATACAGTTTTTAGCATATAAACTAGATAATAATTATTCGGTTGACACACAATCAACGGCATAGAATACACGATGGCACAAGCTATAATAATTATTGATATAAAATATTATTTTATCGCAATTTAGCTGATATATAACTGGATAGCCCTCATAAATAAGTAGTGGAAGGAGGGAATCGATTTTCATATTCCGTTTTCCTGCAAATGTTATTTAACTTCTTTATTATATAATATTTGTATTTTTGTCCCCGCCTTTCGAAGAAAGCAGGGGACTATTAAAATCGGTGTGTCTGTCCGTCCGTCACACTTTTTGGGACACAATAACTCTCTCTAACTGAGCCAGAATGTTCAAACTTGGTGTAGGTGTTTATTAGGTCAATGCCTTGATGGAGTTCAAAGATGAGCATTTTCTGCTTAGTGTAAGCAGAGATAAGCAATTTGATTGGTTGATGCTTTGGGACACGATAACTTTAGTTCTAATTAAGTGAGAGTGATGAAACTTGGTGTATAGCTTCATTACATCAATACCTTGACTAAGTTCGATAATGAGCATTTTCTGCTTAGGGTAAGCAGAGCGATAAGCAATTTGATTGGCCGAGACTTTGGAACACAATAACTCCCCTTCTAATTGAGGTAGAATGTTCAAACTTGGTGTAGGTGTTAATTAGGTCAATGTCTTGATGGAGTTCGAACATGAGCATTTTGTGCTTAGGTTAAGCAGAGATAAGCAATTTGATTGGTCAAGATTTTGGAACACAATAACTCTCATTCTAGTTGAGTTAGAATGTTCACACTTGGCGTAGGTGTCTGATAGGTGAATGCCTTGATGGAGATTGAAGATGAGAATTTTCTGCTTAGGGTAAGCAGGGATAAGCAATTTGATTGGTTGATGCTTTGGGACACGATAACTTTAGTTCGAATTAAGTGAGAGTGAGGACACTTGGTGTATAGCTTTATTACATCAATACCTTGACTTAGTTCGATAATGAATATTCTCTGCTGTCATGTCATGGCTGAGTTCAATGATTTACATTAGTCGATGCTTTGGGACAAGATAACTTTGATTCTATCTGATGGAGAGTGCTGAAACTTAGTGTATAGTTTGATTGCTCGATACTTTTGAAAAAAATAAATGTGCGATTAATAAATATGTGTCATCTATTTATTTTTGGATTTCGGCGGGGGACATCAGCCTCACTGTTGGCTTGTTTTTTTAACTATACTCATCCAAATTAAAAACTTGACACTATGGATTTTTGGGATTAGATTTTTAATATTTGGTTTAAGGCAACTATTTTAGTGTTATGTTGTGCACAGACGACCTTGACATCAACAGAAAGCAAGAATACGTCTCGCCGAAAGTCCTTGACATTGATAACGTTCGTAATGTCACAGTACCCCCCAAAATGAAATTCACAGACTTGGAGAACAATCGGAATAAAATGTTTAGTAATGGTTGTGGCCTCCTCTAGCTCTCGTACTGCCACACAACGTCTTCTCATGGATCTCAGACCATTAGTAAACACTACGCGAGGAAGACGTCGCCACTGCTCAGCAAGAGCATGTTGAAGGTCCTGCAATGTCAGTGGTGGATTCACTTGCTGACGAACACGTCGACCCAGTTCATCCCAGATGTGTTCAATAGGATTAAGGTCGGGGCTAAGCGACGCCCAATCCTGGACTTGGACACCGGCATTTCTTAAAAAATTCTGGGTAGCAATTGCTGTATGGGGTCGAGCATTGTCTTGTTGAAACGTTAGTCCAGGCCCATGTCTCTGCATAAACGGAAGAAGAACAGGTTGCAAAATCTGATCCCTGTACTGGACAGCATTTAAGTTCCCTTGGACAACAACAAGAGGAGAACGTCCATGTGCACAAAAAGAACCCCAAACCTTGACGCAACCACCACCAATTCGGTCAACTTGTCTGACGCATACATGAGCGTAACGTTCACCTCGTCTGCGGTACACTCGGGCCCTGCCATCGGCAAATCTCAAAGTAAATCGAGATTCGTCACTAAAGACAACCAAATTTCACTGTCTTTGAGTAAATCTTATGTGTCTTGTGGCCCACACAAGTCGGTTACGGCGATGAAGAGGTGTCAATATTGGTCCATTATAGGGCCTCCGAGCTCGAAGACCAGCAGCCTGCAAGCGATTTGGAACAGTTTGTGCAGTTACCCTTCCACCAAACATCTCTCTACTTGTGGAGGTTGCAGTGACAAATCTGTTTCTAAGATGACATAATCGTATTGCTTGATCTTCCTGGAGTGACGTCACACGTGGCGCTCCCGCCCTTGGGTGGTCGGCAATAGCTCCAGTTTGAAGCACTCTCATTCTAAGATTAATTATTGTCTGGCGTGAACAATTAAAGGCTCTTGCAACAGTGACCACAGACTGACCAGCATAGAGCCTACCTATAGCACGTAGACGTTCTACATTTGAAAGGCGCGGCATTTTCTAACAAAGATGAAAATAACAATTTTAATTTGTTTTTCCTGTTCAAGTTACGTGTGCGTGTTCAGTTTAAGCAAACTTGCATCGATTGACCTCACGAGTTTGTGTCTGCACGTGTTTTTCAGGTTTTTCATCTTTATATGCTCAAAAGTCACGTGATCCATGTGACTTTACAATTTTATGAAATTAAAGGCTTCCTACTACTTACTATTGTTAGAAACACTTTAAAATTTATTTGACTTACCAGAAAAAATTTTTTGTTGAAATTCATCAGTCTCAAGTTTTTAATTTGGCTGAGTATATTATAGCAAGAAATGTTAACTCTTTATCTAATCTCCCATAATTACCCTTTAATTATTCTTAATCAGTTTTAGTGTCTTATAAGTACTTTTATTGCCGACAAAAGAAATAATATGTGACAAGCCTTGTTGACTACTCAGGACGCCTACCTGCTGTGAATGTATATTTCATTGCCTGGCAACCTATTTTTGTTTTAATCTTCTATATTAAAATACTGATCTAAGTAACCCATTGTTGTTTAAATTAACTTGTTCCAAGTTCTCTTCTTTTAATGAGATTTTTTTTTTTTTTTCAGATTGTATTTATTCCTATCTGGATTGTAATGTGTGTGACATTAATTGGTTTGTTATATGCCATTGTTTTAGCTATTATACTACTCAAATCACCTGACATTATACCAGAACAGCGCAGAGGGAATGTTTCTACTGCTGTTGGCTATTTTTTCTTAGTTGTACCATTATTAGTATTTGAGGTAAGTGGCCTATTATATAACTCTTTATATAAATAATTTATTTTAATTATCAGCCCTAAAGCTAACTTTGTATTTATTAGTAATCAAATTTTGGATGTGGGGTTTAAATTGGCATGTCTTAAGTTTCCTGTTGAAAGAATTATAAAAAAGCAATACCCAAAACATATTCTTGACTTAAAAAGTTAAATAAATCATCTATAGGCTGCTGTGAAAGTTTAAATTTATGGTGTGTTAACAGTTAACACTTAATAATGTAATTATATTTTATTTTCAGATATTATTAGCCAACAGATTGGATCACGCAAATCAGTTTAAATTTAGTGCTATTACTGTTCCTTTATTAATGTCATTGATAACTCTTATATGTTTATCATTTGGATCTAAAGGTGGAAATCATTGTAAGTATTAACAGACAATTTGCACAAATTGCAATAATAAATTCAATATATTATTAGATAAGGCTTAAATACAGATGTGGACTGTTGTATTCATGTGTAAATTCATAGTTTTGAACCTGATCTTGTTAGCCAAAAGTAAATGTTTCAAAATAACCAATGTTTAGATACATTCTATTATATGTTGAAACTAATTAAGAATTATGATTAATGTTTACCTAAAATTCCTGAATCTGAATGACTTTATGTTTTAACCAAAATAATCTTTTCAGGGTGGTTTGGTGTACGAAAAGACTTTTGTCAGTTTGTATTAGGCGTGTGTCCATTCCTTCAAGAGTACGGGAATATTTCTTACAGTTTACATAGCAATGACTCAGATAATGATTCCACTACAAGTCAACACGTTAAAACAAAATCATCACTCAAAAAATCAGACTATATTGTTGACCAACCAAGAACTGTTATATCAGTATTATCTATTGAAATGCCAGATTAGTCACATTTTACAGTTGTGTTACAAACCAGGGTATCTATCTGTCCAATTTATTTCAAATATATTTACTTGCCAAAAGTGTTAATTATATGTCGAGAGAGAAACACAAAACTGTGTATGTATTTCATATGAGCAGAAGAATCTGTGTACGGCTACATGAATAATTGTAGTATGTTTTTATTTGTGATAAAAGAGAAGAGTTATATCAGTGTATCAGAAAATGATACATAGACAGTAATTACACTCCCAGTGGTCCAATTATAATGAATTATTAGGGAAGTGTCTTTAATAAAGCTGTCAGCTGATTCGTCATTTCATGAATTATATGATTATAATGACCAAGGAACATGAGCCTTAAGGCTTGTCATCTATGAGTGCAAACTTGCGGCAAAAGTAATGACAACTATTTTTATTTTATTTAATTTAAATTTGGACAACTTATTTAATATATGATTTTGTAGTTCAAAAATATTCTTGAACTTATTGCAACGTAATTATGAATCCAGCTTTAATACTTTCATAACTGAGGACTGAGGTATTAAATCAAGAACATTTTTATAAAACTGTAACGCTTGTTGAAATACAATATTGCATAGTCTCTCATTTCACTCACATTTTCTTATCCAGACTGACTGTCACTGAAAAATTGACTGGTTGACAAATTACTAGACTGTCCTCTAGTCTATCATGATAATATAGTAAAGTGATCAGCTTAGATCTTTATTCATAGACTCTACCGAAGGAGGAGAAATCAGATCTTTGGCGAAATTTTCCATAATGATTGACATCTCAAAATTGTCACTCATTGACAGGAGTTTCAGATTCAACTAGTGGAATAATTTCAACCAAATCTCACCAGTAAATTCCACCACTGCACAAAAGGTATAATCCTTAATGTGGTGTGATGAAAGTCAACAGCTAAAATTGACACAAAGTATTATTAATATATGTAAGGATTGTATAAATCACATTTAAAAGCAGTTCAAACTTTAGTAAATTCTTTTATGTTTTCTGCATAGAGCTTGTAAAGAAACCTAATTGACTAAAAGTTTCAAATTATTTTGAGACAGTAATATTAATTAATTATTCATATTTACAGACCTGACCTCATGACAATTGATTCACTAATATTATTGTATATTTCAATTTAAAAAAACAAAAAACAAAAAGCTGATACAAATCTATACACGTGTAACGAGTAATGAGCCAAATATTTTTTTTATATAACAATAAAATATAATCCAGTAAATCTACCTCAGTTGTTTTATAACATTGTTATAATTCATACATAAATAAATCAAGAAAATTTATTAAAGGCAACTTACTTTCCCAAAAATGTGGTTCACAATATAGAACTATGTATCATGCCTGCCAGTAGTGTTAAAATGAACTCTTTTTGTTTCATATTGAGGGGCCTTGCCATAATGCAGTTGTAGTTAGTTGGCCACAGCATAGTGAATCTCCAGTTAAACATACATTATGCAAGAGCTAAATCTGGCTATTGCAGGTCTTTCTTTAGGCCTGAAATGTTATCTAAATTATTAATCAGACATTAATTAACTTATCCAGACCATAATCAACTCTCGATGTCATTGCTAGCCTGCGATGTTTATTGGATTAGGTTCCGATTTGCTGTTCGACTACCATTCATGATTTAATCATGAAATGGATAATCGAGACTATGTTTTTTATCGTACCGACTTTAGTAATGATGATCGAGACTAGGTTGAAAATTCAATCGCTAAAATCTTGGTTCAGAATGGAGCAATTTGACTGAAATTTTCAGCAAATTCCCTTTACATTATCTAGTTTTTAACTATTATAGTGAGAACTGCCAGCTCTTTATCTAATCTCCCATAATGTATCTTTAAGAAAAAGAATTACTAGGTATGAACTAGGTATTACTGTATGGTATGTTTATTGGTGTCTCGTTCAATATATTGATATTGTGTTATTATGGTTATATTAAGAATTTGTGCATATATTTGATGGTGTCATTTTATGAGACATGTGTGTTTGAATGACATGAATATGAATGATGATATATATAAATTATTTATACAATATGTAAATGAAGACATATTTTAAGATTGTATATTTTTATCCATATTTTGTAACCTGTAAATAATAGGTCTGTATTTGCATCCCAATTCCTAGTCTGATAGCTTTGATATGTTACTATTTGGAGGATTTGAAAAACTTTAGGAGCTTTAACACAATGTAAGGAACTCCCCACTACTTTTGATTCATCAAAATCTGATTCAGTATAATTTTGATTCATCAAAATCTGATTCAGTATAATTTTGATTCATCAAAATCTGATTCAGTGTAATTTTGATTCATCAAAACCTGATTATGTATAATTTTTAATGGTAGAGGGGGTACCTTAGCTACAACAATGCTATATTGAAACCCCAGTTTGTATAATATTATAAAAAACAGGAAATTATATCTGTATTCGAGATAACTATTTTTTTTGATGTTAACCAGACCCATTGCAATTAGAATAATTCTACGAGTTACTAGCACTCACATTGCTTTGATAGAATTTTATTCGAAATTCCAATATGCTAAAAAGATGTTTTCCACTTTATTATCTGGAAATCAAGGTATTTGCAGGATCTTTGCAACGTCAAGTGTCATAGTCTCAAAATCTTAGCTTTGCAAGTATTTCACTTTGCTTAGTGGCTTTAAATCAACCTTTAGACTTCATTCAATCAAAAGTACTTACCTGGTACTAAAAATATATATCTGCATATTTTATTAATAAAAGGTAGCCAATATGTAGGACAGTTACAGCTCCAGGTGAACGTAAGAAATTGAATTGGTAAAAATTTACCAATTTTCAAAAATCTTCCACTGAACAACTAAACAAAATTTTAATGATATGTAAATATAAATCAGCATAGAAATAAATTCTTGTTCAGATTTGTTCAAATGAAAAGGCTATAAGCTGTGAAGATCTTGAGGAGTAGTATGGAATTGATTTCTTATGAATATGGTGATTTAATTCCGAGAAGTCTTCTTTTCTACAAGTAATTTTTATACGCCCACATGGAAATGTGGTCATATATTGCTGTTGCCTCCGTCCGTCGTCCACAATTTCTTGTGAACACTCTACAGACTACATTATTATCCAATTTGTATTAAATTTATACCCAACATTTAAACTAGTGAAACGAAGAAGTCTATTGAATTTCAGCAATTTCCGTTAATTACTTGGAGAGTTATGGCCCTTGCTTCACTTTGTAGAACCTTTTGCTTTTGAATGCACTACAGACAAAAGTTATCTTTCGATCTGTATGAAATTTATATACATCATTTGAATTAGTGAAACGATGAATCCTATTGAATTTCGGCAATTTCCATTAATCACATCTAGGGTTATGGCCCTTATTTCACTTGTTGAATCATGTGAATGATTTAATGACAATCATCCTATCTGTATGAGATTTATATGCATCATTTTAATTAGTGAAACAAAGAAGCATATTGAATTTCAACAATTTCCGTTAATTTCTTCAAGAGTTATGGCCCTTGTTTCACTTTGTTGAACCTTATAAATGCTCAAATAAAGAAAGTTATCATCTGATCTGTATGGAATTTATATACATCATTTAAATTAGTGAAATGAAGAATCCTGTTGAATTTCAGCAATTTCCGTTAATTTTGTCATGAGTTATGGCCCTTGCTTCACTTTGTTGCACCTTGTTATAACAAAGGTTATCATCATATCCATCATTTCAATTAGTGAAACAAAGAATCTTATTGAATTTCAGCAATTTCCGTTAATTTCTTCAGTTATGGCCCTTGTTTCACTTTTGTTATACCTGTGAATGCTCTCTAACTTAAGTTTTATTTCTAAAATATTAGAGAAATGTATTGCTTCTCATACTGTTTGTATTAACCATTTCAAAGTGCTTATAAACAATTTCACAGTACCGAAACAGCTTTAACCCGGGTTTCAAATGATATTTTAATGGAAATTGATAATAGAAAATGTACATTTTTAATTTTATTAGATTTATCTGCTGCTTTCGACACGGTGGACCCTTCCATTCTTCTACGTAGACTTCAATTTAAATTCGGTATTTGTTGCTCTGCATTAAATCTTTTAGAGAGCTATCTTGTGGGTAGATAACAGTGTATATTAGTTAATTGCAAATCGTCATCTGAATCTGTTTTGTCATCTGGGGTTCCCCAAGGTTCTGTTCTTGGTCCGATTTTATTTACCCTCTATACGTCACCATTAGGAGTATTGTCAGAAAATACGGTCTCAGCTTTCATTTTTTGTATGCCGATGATACTCAATTATATATTTCATTTACACCTAATTGTCCATCTTCTTTCAATTTATCAAAATTGCAACTTGAGAACTGTATTAGTGAAATTAGAAAATGGATGTCAAAGAACTTTCTAAAATTGAATGATGATAAAACCGAATATTTGTTATTAGGCTCAAGGCATCAATTAAGTAAATCTGCACAAGATAACCCCCCTGTTGTAATTGGTAATTGTGATATATTTTCATCTTATTCTGCTCGTAATATTGGCGCTATCTTTGATAGTTTTATGCTTATGGGAGCTCAAGTAAATAATATTTGTAAATTGTGCTATTTTAATATTAGAAATATAGGTAAAATACGTAAATGTGTAACTGTAGAGGCCACTAAGTCACTTGTTAATTCTCTGGTCCCTTCTCGATTAGATAACTTTAATTCACTTTTAGTTGGTTTACCTTTAAAGCTTATAGATAAATTACAAAAAGTACGGAATACTGCGGCTAGACTTGTTACTTTAACTAAGAAATGTGACCACATAACTCCTGTTTTATATAATTTACACTCGTTACCTGTTAAATATCGAATTGATTTTAAGATTTTATTACTTACTTTTAAATGTTTAAATAATTTAGCTCCTGTTTACCTCTCAGATCTTTTAGAACTTTATACACCTGGCCGAACATTACGTACATCAGATAAACTACTTTTAAAGCCCAAAACTGTTCAACTAGTCTCCTATGGTCAGCGCTCTTTTAGTTATCAAGCACCTGTTTTATGGAATAATCTACCATTTAGTTTAAGATGTTGTACATCTCTATTCTTTTAAAAAACAACTTAAAACACATTTATTTAATCAGGCTTTTAACTGACTCTGTATACAATCGTTAACATGCCCATAATCTTGTTGTTTATGTGTGATTTACATTGTCACTTTGTAAAGTGCCCCTGAACATGTTATATGAAAGGGTGCACTATAAATATGCTGTAATAATAATAATAATAATAATAATAATAATGAAAGAAGTTATCATCCATTTTGTATGAAATTTATACGCATCATTTAATCTAGTGAAACGAAAAAGTCTATTGAATTTCAGCAATTCCCAAAAATTGCTTCTAGAGTTATTGCCCTTGTTTAATTCTATTGAACCTTGTGAACGCTTGAATGACAAAGGTTATCATCTGATCTGTACAAAATTAATATGCATCATTTAAATTAGTGAAACGAAGAAGCCTTATTAAATTTTAGCAATTTCAGTCTATTACTTCTAGAGTTATGGCCCTTGTTTTACTTTGTAGAACCTTGTGAACATTCAAATGACAAAATTTATCCTCCAATCTGTATGAAATTTATATGCATTATTTAAATTAGTAAAACGAAAAAGCCTGTCAAACGACGAAAATTATAATCAGATTTGTGTGAAATTGTCTTGTAAATGCCCCCCATTACCTACAAAAGAATAAGTATGCGACAACCCTTGTCGACCGCTCATACAATTTAGCTGCTGTGGGCGTATGTTTCGTTGCCTTGCAATCTATTTTACAATGTTTATTCCTATTTAAAGGAGTGCTCCCAAATTTATCAAGATACCTGTTCATATAGTGTTTTAAAATATGCAGATAAAAAGCCAAAATATAAGCATAAAGTGTGTCACCTGATAATCATGGCTATCCAGAAATTTCTAAACTTTGACTAGTATAAACATGTTTTATCCAGGCACAATTATAACCTGAAGTAAGAAAACGGTCACCATCAAAATTGTTTAATTGTTTCTTCCAAAATGTAGGAGTCTGCCACTACTGAATGTTGGCATACATTGTAATGCTAGTTATTGATGTTATTATCTAACAGATTAAATGAAAATTTGAATAAAAGTATAAATTTTAGAGCTTTGAGTTTGTTTTGATTAATCTGATAAGAATATACAACTAACATAAAAATTTATTCTTTATTTATATCTCAGATATTTACTTATAGCAATACGTGGGTATTAATTAAGTCTTTACACTTGTTCAGTGGACATTTATATACTGGCACTGTATAAAATAAAATTCAATTAAAGTGCCAAATACTTTCAAAAGTGTCACAGTGATCAGAAAAATCACTATTTGACTGGGCTGGGCATTATTTTAGACATGGTGAATATTTTCTCTTTCCTTTGGTAAAGTTAAAGCCACCAATTGTCATTTGATGGATGTTTAATCCCTTGCAAATTACAATATTGTGAAAGTTGAATTTCTAAAAGGAATATCAGTCCAATTCTGTTCAGTATTTACAAAGATGTGATGAATTGAAAATGTCCCAACATTCCGCATCCTCTGCAGACAATGTATAAAAAAAAGCCAGCACCGAAGATAGTAGGCCTAGGCCTATCTACTGTTGATGTTTTGGTTTTGTTTTCTTTATTAAATGTTAATAATCAATTTGAGTACATTTTAGCGTAGATTAAGCCATGAAAATTTATATTTTGTTAGAAAAATACAAATAAAGATCAGCTTGCTTGTTTAATTAATGCTAATCACAGAAACACTTGTCTGTGACCAACAGCCAAATAAGTGGTTACTCCCCTGTGTAAAAAAAAAAACTTCTCTCAACGAGTTTTCTCCCTTATGATAGATTTCTACAAATGAGGTGATAAAACTCCCTAACTTGCTCTCGGCATTATTCGTTCTTTTCCGTTCATTCAATATGGCAGTCACCAAGAAAACAAAACTCTCTCGCGAAGAAGAACTTTTGCTACAAGATTTTAGTAGAAATGTTTCTACAAAATCATCAGCTTTATTCTATGGGAATGCGCTGATAGTTTCAGCAATTCCAATTTGTAAGTAAACTTTAAATATTCCATTATTTATCTGTTTATATGCACTCCACACGCTCGCATGCCACGTATACGATTTATTAAAGTTACGCTTTTATTTTTAACTACCGGTACCGGTACTGGTGCTGTATTGCCAAATATTAGATTTATTCAACATTTAAAATATTAAGATCTAGGCAATATCAAATTTCTAAACTAAATGTGAATTGTCAAGTCAAGCCAAAGTACAATCGTGGTAGAGTCATAGATCGTATGGTAGAAATAGTAGAATAAACTGATGTAAACTAGGCCTAATAACACGATAAGATAGTCCATGTGCCCTCATTAGTGAGACTTTATTATATAAATGATTTGATATGCATAATGATTAGAAGTTTATTCTCAAATTGTTTTTAATATTTATCCCGCGATAACATCTTAAATGTAAACTGTTTGCCAACTCATTTAAGAAATGTTGTTTTCTAATGCTTCATGGAGAAAATGTGGAAGATTTTCTGATACGCCTAGTGTAGATAGGCCTACACTAGTAAAAAAAAAAACAACCTTTAAATGACCATATGTTTAATGTTATGCTTTTTCACTATGTCATATATCAATATGCAATGATTGGATTTGATTTGGGTTATATGGAATGTTTAAATATGGAATGCTATCATTAATGCAACCTTAATTTAAGACTTCAAGTTCAAAGGTAATTAACAAGTCTAGCATACATTTTTTTTATTCCAGTATTCAGTACCAGTATTGCAATGTTTTAGAAACTATTAGACCAACAGTACCATACTGGAATAATTATCTTCCAGTATTAATAGTATTATATAAAGTTCTGTTTATTCATAAACTTTACTCTATAATTAGCTAACAAATGTGTGCAAATAATATCTGTCGAAATATGTGAAAAATCGTTTAATGTGGGTTACTGTTTAATCAATAACATAGCTATCACCTAGTTTATTATGCAGTTGGAGTTACTTGGGCCCTATACTATTTAAGATGCATTATGTAAGATTTAGACGAGAGCTGTCCGTTCAAAAATAGATAATGAAAATGAATATATATTGAAAATTTCATTCAAATTACTTTATTCTGAGCAAAGTTTAATTATTTTTTAGTCAAATGAGAGATTTGATTAAACCCTTTAGGCGAACTCATGGGTACATGTATACAGTAGAACTTGCTTGGGCGTGCACTCCTAATCAGCGAAAACTTGCTTCAACGAGCACCAAAAATTCCCCCCAAGCGATTTTTAAGTAATTTAACCCCTACTAAACACACACCTGTTCAATGCATGCAACAGGCATCATGATTAATCCCCCCCCCCACCCCACCCCCCGTAAAAATTCTACAGTTTCAACGGTCACTCCTCTAACGCGGCCAGCGGTCACTATTTTACTAATAAATTCAACTAAAAGCTGGCCCATACAATGGCCATTGTTGAATGATACCATCTTGTCGTTCTTTCTTTGTAACTCTCCCGCTAATCCCGTGAGTAGTAGTAGTTAATTAACTGGACCCCCACTGATCAGGTAAAAAGAAATGTAAAAATAACAATCAACCCGGGATTATCTGTTTATTAATCTTTTGTTTTATTAAACTGCTAACCTGATCATTGTTTTCACTCGTAACGACACATTATTTGATACTGATTCAATAAAATGAAAGTACTGAGTTTTGTCACGATCATCTAGTATCTCTTTTCCATTGCCACTTTGTTGTTAAACAGACATTTTAGTGCCCCCTATAATATTTCATACAGAGTTACACCCCCTGTAAATCGGTGATAAAATCAGCGATGTTTATTTTGTTCATGTGCTTTTTTGATAAAATAAAATTAATTCATCGATTTTCTTCACAAAAATGGATAAATATTATCGAATGTATTACTAAACAAACATGTATACGCGACTACTTTGCATTCACAACTAGATAAAAAGTAAATGTATTGTTATTGTTATACTACATGAATAAAAAAATATATGCAATCTATATCTTTATTTTTTGGGTTAGGGGTTGGGGCAATATTGGATACCTCTAGTCAAAGAGCACCTCCATTAAGCAAGCACTTTTAAATTTCCCTTGGGTGCTTGCTTAATACAAGTTCTACTGTATTCCAAGGAGAAACCATTCCAAGATCAGTATTGTTTGTTTAACAATGTGTTTCTCATAATAATATTACATTCCCTAAAATGATCTCAATAAATGTGGCACTCCCTCCCCCTCTTCTGGAAATACATCACAATTCAAATTCGAAAATTTTAATGTAATAATAGAAATGGAAAATGATTATGCATTACTCGTCAACTGCTTGATGATATTGTTTTATTTATATTTCAGGGCTTTTTTGGAGAATACATCAAATGGATTTATGGCAGTCAGCAATTTTGTTTGTTGTATTTTCTTTAGTCAGTACATACTTAGTGGCATATGCTTACAAGAATGTAAAATTTGTCCTCAAGCATTAGTAAGTGTTATTTTTCTTACCCCTTCTTTTCATGGATCTTAACTCACTTTACATTCAAATTGAAATATGAATCATAATACCTATTTTTCGCTCAGAACATTTTTGTTAGACTTCATTAAAAAATACATATTAAAGATGGATCATGTAAGATTTACATAAAGAGCTGACAGGGAATATGTTGAAAATTTCAGTCAAATTACTTCATTCTGAACGGAGTTATGGCTGTTTAAAGAACAGTGTAGTCTCGATTGTCATTGCTACCTTAGTCTCGATTATCCATATTTTAAAATTAAATTATTAACTGCCAGTCTTGTTTGAATCCGTTGACTGATTGAGGAATAAAGAAAATTTGTGATATGGTACACATTCTGTTTGTTCTAAAAGTGAAACCTACAATATTTTTAGCATTGCCCAAAAGAGGGAAGAAGGTATAACAAAAGAAATGATGAGTAAATTATCAGAAGATAAAGAAATGACTAAGAAAGAAAAAGATGAAAGGTATGTTTGGGATATGGGTTCAGGTTATATGAACAGCACAATGTTCTTGGCAATATTCGGAGCATCCTTAGGGGATCGTATGCAATAAACTGCCAGACTTCACAACTAATAAAAGGCAGTATATCTTAGTGTTCTTGGTTATTTTTCATGTTAAGGGAGTACGCTTATTTAAGTATATTCTATAATATCCATAAATTTCTTTAGTTAACCATTCAAATTGAAGTCTAATGCTCATATTTGACTCTTTTTTTTTTCAGAGTTTTATGGAAAAAGAATGAAGTAGCAGATTATGAAGCAACAACTTTCTCAATTTTTTATAATAATGCCCTATACTTGGTGCTGTTGATTGTGTTTTCATTCTACATACTCAAGAATTTCAACCCATCAGTGTATCCTTTTGAATAATTAAAATATTTTTGAGTTGTGTATGACAAGTCTAAACTGAGTGTGAGACAGTTTGATACGATAACAATAGGTTACGATTCTACCTGGGCTGGGTCTAATTGACTTATTACTTATAGCTTATTAATACAGCTTATTACAAAGGAACTTCTAATCATAGAGGTATTTAGAAAACATATTTGGTATTTTAATTGTTATGAATTTGTCATAAATCGCAGTAACCCTTTTCTGTAAATAATTTGATTGTTGACCTTAACTTGTTACAGTAACTATGTTCTTTCAGTTGGTTCATCAGCTGGCCTATTGGCTCTGTTTTCTACCAGTTCAAAGTAAACTTGTTAGTGGTATAAGCTGTATCATATTACATACAAAAACATTTCATTCTTGATCTTAATTTTTAAATAAAATATTACACAATATTGATGTTTTTGTTACAGTAAATACCAGCAGACCAGCAGTGTGTTCTAAATTGAAGAACAAACTTGAAAGTAGCGAATTCCATGTCTAACGGGAGATGATGGACACTCCCAGCCTATGTTCTCAGATTTCGAAGTCGTAAATCAAAGTTATTAGAGAAAAATTAATGCATAACACTGAATATTGATGTGATTTCACTGTATATAGACCAGAGCCCGTCCTCCACTTGTATAGTAGTTGAGCGATTTGGGCATTGGCCTCATAAACTAGAATATCCCAGACTGGGAAGAATCGTGATATTTCAAACAGTTTCAGTTGTTAAACATGGTACGCTGAAAGTACTTAGTCATTTGGATATTATGAAACACTAGTCTATCTGTGCATATTGGTATGCCAGTTCAAAAATCCTTGGGGGTAGAAATTTGAAAAAAAGGTAGTAGGAAGTATCGCTGTCCACAACAACATTCTCTCCCTCTCATTGCTTGTGTAACCATATAAATTACTATATGTTAGTATTAAATTGCCAAAGTGTTTTGGTGTTGAGACTTTTAGCAGTTTGTAATAGTTTAGTATATTTGTTGCAAAAAATTAGATTATGAAATCACTCAAAATTATGAACCAACACAAGGAGGCCATAACATACATCCACATTACATACAGGTACATAATATCTTCAATTCAATTTTGATTTAATGAATTTAAAATTTACATGAACAATATTATCTGTAAAAGACCTGTACAAAAAGTCAATGGTTTCGATTTATATTTCTACATAATTCCCTTCGAGGTGTACATACTTTTGGAAAGGATGTTGATGCCGGTCAGGAAGAAAAAGTCGGTCACCGCTGAATTCGTGTCATCATTACTAGGAAAATGACAACCGCTAGCTCCTTTTTGAATACAGGTCTCAGCTATAGTTACAAATCTGGCAAAAAATATCATCTCTTAAGGCATTGGGTGCCACAGTGGCTAAGAGAGTAAGACACTGGCTTGCTAGTCTGGAGGTTGCGTGTTCAATCCCTGCATTGGGCGAGAAAGTTCATGCAGGACGGAGGGCCAGCCATGGACAGCTGCCTAGTCGTTTGGATGGGACAAAAAAGTGAGGTCCCGTGTATACATTGGCGTGCACATAAAAGGTCCCTTGGCAGTTGGAATTCGATATAAAAGTTGGCCATAGTGCTGCTGCCCGGGCAAAATTTCCCTCGCAGCACACTGTATGGCGTATTCCCGTTTTCATTAGCCCAGTCAGAACAGAACCGTAGGACGTTAAAACCCATTTCACTTCTTTTCCAAGTCGTGCTCAACCCTCTCATGAAAGGTGCCGACAACAGTGGCAATATGTCGAGTGGTCAATTGTCGATCAGCCATCACCTTGTCATGCTCCTGGATAATGTTTTCTTGAATGAATGCTGTTGATGGCCTCCCTGGACGCTGGTCATCGTCAAGGCTCTCTCTGCCACACTTAAATTTCACAGCCTGCTTTTTTATTGTTTCATTTGTCTGTACAACACTAGGATCTTGAAGAATTTTTATATAACAGGTGTTCTGGATCGCGTGAGGGATTAGCCAATGAACCCATATGTTACAGCGACTTCTTGGCGTGCCATGCACGGAACTGTGGGTAAACCACTAGAAACGTCAACGCTGATTAATTAATGTCTGACGTCATAGGGCTAAAAGCCGCCCGTTTGACCCCTGACGTGAACTCCCACTATAACTTGTCAGATCTTCAGGTAGTGTAGGCCATTGAAAGTATAAAAAAAAAAACGAGATATAGATCTGTATTTTAATCAGATTGGGCGTCACGGTTTTTGTTTTTCCATTTGTTTGCTTGCTTACAATTCCCTATCAAAATCTTGTATATCTGATTATAATCATTTAAAGCTTTAAACTATAAGGAAGAATGTGTATTATCAAAGAACCGTATAGTGCAGCTACTGTTTTAGTTCCGTCACCACACCCAATATTTCGAGTGAACCTGGAAATTGTATACAGAGGATTTTTTATGATTGGTCTTAGTAGCCCAGTGTTTCCTCTTTCAGAATCTGCCAGGTGAATCTCGGTCACCCTTGAGCGTTTTGAGAAATTCAAGATGGCCTCCAAGACGGCCGCCACATCAAATAATCCCCTAAAGCTCCCATAGTATTTATTCTAGGATGATAATTTTGGTGTCTAACCGTATGTTCCTGCGGTCAAGGAATACACTGAAATCGATATGGCCCTTTAACTCGTTAGCGGCCGTTCAGGGCCATTATTTCACCAAAACAAACTGTAGGCTATCTAGAGACAACTTATATATTTCTGGATATAGGAGCTTGAGAGTGATACGATAACACCAAGTATGCATATCAGGGCCTCCAGAGCCACATGGGTCGGTCCCGAAAAGGGAGATACAAGCTGTTTTTTGAACACTTAAAAAAACAAACATTTAAAAAAACCAAAACATTTTACCCGCAAAACCGGAACATAACCTCCACTAAACTAGGTAATATCCAGTTTAATCCTTTATCTGGTTTCAACCTGCGACAGCACAAGCGCAAGCGCACAATTCTGTATATTCTAAGCCATCCCTGGTGCAGTTACAAGCACACGTACTACATGAGCTGTCACTCTTGCATCCACATCTGATGAGCCACATGACAGACTCAATTTAGTATCTTTCTCCCAGCAATACAGTTCTAGGTCAAGTTCCGGTGGATTACAATCCAGTGAACGCCACACGATAGCTTGGTGATGAGCTCTTTTTACGTTCTTTGCAAATGTATCGTTCGTTGAGCAAGACTACATGGTTTGGGTGGGAATAATGACGGTACATTTCCATTTTTAGATGTCCAAACCCTCCAGCGTGTTTCAGACATAAATTTCTAGAACTCTGTGGTGTTTCGGGACAGTGGTGTTATCCTACGCTTCTATGTCCGGAAATATATAGTTTGTCTCTGGATATAGTTTGGTTCGCCCCCAACCGCCGCTAAGGCATTAAAAGGTCATAATATTGTCTGACATGTTTGAACGATTTCGGTGTATTCCTCGACCCCAAAAACATACGGTTAGACACCAAAATATCATTCTAGACTAAATACTATGGGAGTTATAGGGGATTATTTGAAATGGCGGCCATCTTTGACGCCATCTTGAATTTCTAAAAACGCTCAAAACGGCAGATTCTGAAAGAGGATACCCTAGGCTACTAAGATCAATCATAGAAAAAATTTGTATACAATTTCCAGGTTCAGCCATAGTTCTGCCGGACTATTTTATCGTTTGGTAGAGCGGTTTGACAGCCCGCCACTAGCCTCCTCTGTGGTTATTATATGTGTTACGACCCATTTTTGTCAATTTCTAGGTCCCCAATATTAGCGATTTAGCTCCTTTAACAGTTGTGTGAAATTCTCTACTAATGAGAAATGATAAAACAGTAGAGCAGTATGTAGTATAACGTTGCTTCAAGTCTGGACGGTTCAAAATCCTTATGTCATGGTGTAAATTGAAGTATTTAGGACATGTATAACAAACAAATTTATGTTTGTGTTTATAATGAACACTATTGAAACAATGTATCTTACAACATATGTATATATACTCTGTGAGTTATTCTGTTAATACACAGTAGATCGGGAAAATCATGGGGGGGGGGGGCCAATTGATTTTCTGGTGGGGTCTAAATATATTTGGACCCCTCCCCCCCACACCCAAAATTTACATAGTAGGCCCTAACTCCTATTTATTTACAACAATTATTAGAATTAGTTAAGATTCTATCTGTATAAACCAATGTACAAATTAAAACACAAACACTTATGTTTACTTTTTGAAATCCATTTATAATACACAAAATATCTATGCAACTTTCTTGTAAATGTCAATGTGTATATGTATATAGTATTGTAGTTAACAATGTGATTGCTAAATATGCATCCTCATAAACTAAAGTTATGTGAACAAGTTTTGTTTCATTTGGATCCTCCTCATAAAAATTCCCCTACTAAACTCTCTTTGTCGTGTTGTTAAAGCGTAACATTCAATATGTAAAAGTTACTTAAACATGATAAACATTGTATTCGTGTGATGTTTTAGTTTAACCCCGTAAAATATGCCAAAACAGTGTTTATAGAAGACTGAAACTTTAAAAAAAAAATATGGGGGTCCCCCCCTCCCCCAGTAGGAGAGTGACCCTCCCACTCTCTCCCTATCCGGCGTCACAGATTGTCAACATTTTATATAATTTCATTTGCGGACCCCCCAATATATATTTCACGGCTACGCCTCTGTTTAGTACGGTGGCTATTAAGACGTGATAATCAATGTATATTTTGATCATTGTTCATTATCCCGAAAAAGAATAGCAATAGCCTTGACCAAGGAGGACAATATTTTTAAAACTGAGCCTTTGTCAGCTCAGCATGTGCATGACAGATGAAATTATAATGGTATATCTAAACAAGGTTAGTGTTACCATACAACATGGTATAATAATACAAATGAGACAGTTATAACCGGGCCCCAGAGCCTTCGGAACCTGGGTTGGGGGAGACCTTAATCAGTGGTGGCACCGCCAAGGGGGGGGGGGGGGGAGAGAGATTTCTCCTCCCATAAATCTGATAGTCAGTGTCAGACTGCATTTCCGGCACCCTATTTTTCAAAATTTTCTGGGCTGCCCCCTCCCCATATAAGAGTGCCAGAAACGTGGTATAATCGAATATAATGCTGCTATAGGTAAAACGTGGCATGTAATATGATCATGGGGCCGATATAATACCACGTGTGATAGGTACGAGGGCTGGCTGAAAAGTTCTAAGTCTGGAAAGGATAGATAATTGAGTTGAAACAAACTTTTGCCACCAACAAGTACAAACTGTGTTTATTATTATCTTCCTACCAGGCCATCTTGTGAACCTATACCAGTCGAAATCACCAGAAATGAACAATACTGGCTATAGAGCAGTACAGTCATCAAATACCAGAAACTGAAAAGTCTAACCTAGACACAGATACATGCCGACAT